GCCATAGCACTCTACCCAGGGGGACAGCTTGAGGCTCTGTTTCAAAAAAAAAAAAGAATAAGTATAGAACTTGACATAATGGAAAAAATGTTTTAAACATTTTTATTTAAACAAAATGTTTTCAATGGTTGCCAGTTTAAAAAGTGCAGACTAAAACACTGAGAAACTATGTTTGATTATCAAATTGGCAACAATTTTATAATTAGAATATCCAGCCTTGGTGGTAGTGAATAAAATAGAATGCTTACATACTGGCCCAAAACTCTATTTTATTTATGTATTTATTTATTTATTTTTTGAGACAGAGTCTCACTTTGTCACCCGCAGTAGAGTACCATAGTGTCACAGCTCACAGGAACCTCATACTCCTGGTCTCAAGCGATTTTCTTGCCTCAGTCTCCCAAGTAGCTGGGACTACAGGAACCCACCACAATGTCCAGCTGTTTTTAGAGACGGGGTCTCACTCTGGCTCAGGCTGCTCTCAAACCTTGTGAGCTCAGGTAATCCACCTGCCTGGGCCTCCTAAGTGCTGGGATTACAGGTGCAAGCCACCGTGCCCGGCCCCCAAAACCTTTTAAACATGAAAGACCAACTTTCTTTAAAACACTAGAAGGAAGTAATGGAGTTTAACACTGTTTACCTTGGGTCCAGTAATTACAGTGACTTATTTTCTTCATCATAATTTGTTATATGTTTAAAATTTTCTACAATTAACATAAAACATATGGTTTTTAATTGTAATATGCATGTAATTTTATTGCACCTGTTTTGCAGCTTTGACTTTTTTAAGTTCTTTTTCTGATTTTTCAATAAAAAGGTTTAATTCATTAATTTTGGTCATAAGGGACTGCTTTTCCTCACAGTTTTTACTGTTTGATTTCTTGATAAAATGAAGATCATTCTGTAAAAAGAAAAAAGTATGGAAATGTATGTTTTTAACATACCATATTAAACATGTAATATCTTTCCCTAAACTATATCCTCAAATACTTATAATAATTAGATGTTTTAAACTCTTTTTTCACACTGTGTCTCTACTATAATGTACATGGATACAAAGAAGCACTTTCATTTTGATCATCCTTTGATGTATTGGGTTTCGTATGAGTTCATTAATTCCAGGAAATATTATGTATAGTTACAGTTCAACCTAATGAATTAGAGTTGTCCCTTAGTATTTTTGGGAAATTGATTCCCTTACACACATACACACACCAAAATCCATATAAAACACTGTAGTATTTACACGTAACCTATGCATATCCTCCTCTATACTTTAATCATCTCTAGATTACTTATTAATTAATTAATACCTAATACAATGTAAATGCTATGTAAATGGTTGTTATACTTTATTGTTTATGGAATAATGACAAGAAAAAGTCTGCATATGTTCAATACAAACAGAACCATTCATTTTTTTCTTTTTCTTTTCTCTTTTCTCCTGTCTTTTTTTCCCTCATCTGTTTTTTCTGAATATTTTCAATATGTAGCTGATTGAATTCACCAAAGTATAACCAGTGGATAGAGATGGCCAACTGTATAAGTGATGGCCATTTATGAGGAGAAGGAATCATACTTGGTTCGTTACATGGTTCACCACTCCCATCCAGGAGTTTAGTGTTTGATTCCATTCAAGTCCCAGATCGTAAAAACATCAATATTCTGAGAAAGCATAGAGTCGTGGTTAGCAGTAAAGCTCTGGAAACAGATGGCCTTAATTACATATTAGCCACCTGACCCAGGAGTGATCTACTCTTCCCAGCTTACTCATCTCAAAGATGGAGATGAGAATCATTCCTACTCCCCACCCCCGGCTGTTGCGAAGATTAAAGATGTTACTATCAAAGAGTATTACAACAGTGCTTGATACATAACAGTTCCATGTGAATGTCAGCTGTTATTATTATTATTATTATACATATAATCACGTAGTGCTGGAGATAAAGTATTTGATAAGATCTAATTCTATGAGATGCATAAATAGATCATCCATACTCCGATACCAGTTTTCTAGCCTGTGTCCCTCTTCCCACCCAGAAGCCAGAATAAGGCCTGTGCTTAGCCCCTCTTGTTTCCTAAATCAAAACTTTCCAGTTCCAAAATATCTCATTCCCTCTCTTCTTCCCTCCATCCCTGTTCTGTCTCACCCTTTCTCTTTCTCACTGTCTGTATTTCTCTGAAATATCAGGACAAATATCAGGATTGTAACAAGATAGTAAGACGAATGTTTTGCAGAAATATGTGATTTCATAAAATGAAATTTAGAACAAAAGAATTACAATTTAATGTGATTTTTCAACCTGAAGAAATCACTTTATATTATTAAAACTAATAGAAGGAATGGGAGAATGAATATTAAGTGACTTTACAATCTGATGCTATGATTGATCTTTCTTTGGTTAACTATATTTAATATATTTTAAAAATTCACTTGCATTTCTATTAATTTACGTATTTTTCTGTTAAAACCAGAGTTTGACTAGGCATAGCACTGGCCAACCATATGATAGAGAGAGTAGTCAGGGTAGTTAAAAGGGAGAGAAAAACTATAACCATTCCCACACAGTAAAACAGACCATGGGCAACACTCATGTCTAGATACAAAGTCATCCTGCTATCATTCTGAAGCGTCAATATTCTCATATTCTAAATAATCAAAACAATACCATATAGTGTCTACTAAAAGCACTGTGCTAAGATATACACTGCTTCTAGTTCTCCCAGATGCCCTAAAATACTGTCAATCTTTCTCCCCATTTAATAATGAGTAAACTCTAAGAATATGGGGAGGGGGAGGGAGAAGGG